CAAAACATAAAACTACCATAAAGATTCCGACAATAATATTGCTTTAAAATCAGTATAAGCCCAGTTTTCTCACGTTCCAACATGATTTTCCCATCAGTTTACAGGATTATTATATGTAGACTCGGCTACATTTCTTACAGAAAAGTGAGTGTATTTTTAGTAAACTGGTTTCAATCTTCATGCCGAACAATGCACTTTTCTCAACCTATACGATCTAGAAACACTTGACGTTTATCTTACTTATTGTTTCTCTTGAGCCACCTGGTAAGCTGATCACGATTCTCAATTATAGCGCAGCTCATGATTAAGTAACGGATAAAACCCTTAATTTTCAGCAGTGCATGATATGTGTCCTCTGGTGACTTCTTGATGGTTCTTAATTGTTTTCTCTAAAAGATCACGAATTGCTGTTTGTAAATGTAAATGTAAATTTTCCAGGGAGATTTCCATGTCATGCCCTCCGGGTTATGAAGGAAACTCGATTTTTATCTTCCAATGAAAGAACGAGAAATCTTGAGGCTCAAACTTGCTTTTTCTCGAATTTTCCTGCAACTGGAATCGTTTCTTCCAGACGAAGGATCCTACGCCTGCGTATACTGAAAAACTGAGATAATTATCCTCACATTATGCACTGAAAACTTTTGTATAATCACCGATGTCTAGCGTATATTTATGCCGGGAGACATATGAAAGGCGTGCGATACGGATAGAGGCGGTAAAATCCATGAAAAGATAAACCTTGAATCTCTTTGAAGACTTCACTGAGAAAGCTACGGCCCTTACAGGTTGGATTTGAGTTTAAGGTAAAAACTGCGATTAACAAAAACACCGTGATCGAGATGAATCTTATCGGATTATAAAGCGTTAACTTGTTTCGGCGTCTTGTTTATTAAGCGGCTTACTCGGTCTTAACATCATAACTAAGCCACTTATATATTATACAACACCGCTTGCGTGGCGCATCAAAAGACTGAGATCTCTGTCTTTATCTCCTCTGTTCTCACGGTGAAAACTGATTGAAACTGCACGATAGAAGTTAAACCACCGTACAAAAACACTTTGTCTCTGTGTGTCTCTCTTTGTTTCTCTCTGTGTTCCCAGCCTCAAAGTGAACTGAGGATGACTCAAAGCTGAGATCATTGGTATTAATTATAAAATGACCGTTCGATTTGATTCTCAAGTAGGCACTTTTTAAGATGTACTTTGTTTTGTTTTGTTTTTTTTTCTGTACACACCTGTTTTAAACGGCAGTTCATTGAAGCGTGTTGGCCCATTTAACGGTCGAGTACACTGGTCAGTTGAGTAAGCACAGGTTATTATTATCATTTCTCTTGTTACATTAGTTCGAATTGATGTTAAAACAAGCGTGTGATGGACCACACTGATCAGTAGTTTCTCAAAGTAACATATCTCACACCTTATTCAATTGCAATGTTTAAAAATATGGGTACGTTTAAAACCCCCATTCTTCTTTGAGCGCAAGGCTATGACTTTGCAAATAAATATCTATATTTAACCACGACTGATGAAGCATTTTTTAAAAGAAAAACCTGGCTCCCGTAGAAATGCATGTAATCCTATAGCTACAATTAATACGATACTGCGCGACCGACGAACGAAAAGAAAATGAAGAGGCTCAACCATGCGAGCCTCGTGTGTCATCCGCTTGATTGTTGAATCGCACAGGCTTGCCTCGAGCGCACTTATTGCTCATTTGTCATCTATCACGTCAAAGGGCGCTCATGAAAAACACGAACGTGAAAAACAACAAAAACTCAGGACTAGCACTATGTCACTTTCTTCAGTTGAATCCTGCTTGAACTGAGTTACAAGTTTATATCCTTGATATTTAGTGTTGTTTTTGGACGGATGCGACTCAACAAGTTTGTATTTAAAACCACGGCTACGAATTCCGCTGTGATATTTGTTTAACTTAGCTAAAAGTAGTGGTATCAACTGCCTACGTTGTGTTTCTATAAAATCAGTTTCCATGCAAGACTTGGTCAGTTTGAAATTATCGTAAATTAAAGCCTTGGAATAGGATGAAGGAAAACTTTCTTACCATAATCGTTACGTGGTAAACTATTTCCACAGTCGAGGAGAAGAGTAGTTTTTTAGCTTGCTTTGTGTTTGTCCAGCCTGGTTGCAATCAGCCTCCTAACTAACTGAGCGAACGGCTCATTGGCCGAACGAAGAAAAGTAATCTTTGAGGTTTTCGATATTTGCATGTGAATCAGCCGCATGTGTGACAGTTTATTGAGTAGCTATTAATCTCAGAGACAAGTTGATCAGTCAACGCGATATTAATCGAGCCAGGAAGTACATTTACAAAGTCACTAATGCTTGTTACTGCTCTATTGCCCAGCAAACAATACAGCCATTCACAAGGACGAAGAAATTTTTTACTTTCGTAGGTCGTAATAGCACGTCACCTCCTATAACTTCATATTAAATTAACGTCTAAATCCTGTCTCTACTTCCAAATGTTTTCACAGTATCCCGTGATTTTGCCGAAGATTCTTTTTCAGTCGATGATTTTTGGTCGTCAATAAATAGTGACAATCAGTCTTCGCATCTATTCAAGGTGGAGTAAAGAGAGAGACATTACTGAATTTTTCACGTCATCCGCAAAATACTGCTGTTTCCACTTAAAACCCTTTTGATTGATTAAACCTGATTGATGACAGCCATGAAAGGCCAATATTACACACAAAAGTCCTCTTTTATATTTATTGGTTTTTCTTCAATATCACAAACACAGTGGCTTAGGACGGAAACTACAATGACGGGGTCTTATACAGGAAACACTCGATTAAGAGATTAGACTGACAACAAAGCGAAACATGACGAGTTGAAAATGGGCGATAGGAGTTTTGTTTGATGACGAAAATCCATCGGCGAGGCTTTTTATAGTAACCACCTGTCAAAAGGACAATTTCACAAAATACTTTATCCTTGCGCTATGAATTTCTTTGAATATTCCTCAGTGAAGTTTTAACACCTGTTAATCAGGGAATATTAGATCTCTATGAAACCCGATTGAAAATAAATTTTATGAGAAATACAGGTCATGGTCGATCTTGCGGTTTTAGAGTTAAATTTGAAACTAATTATTTGTCACGAAGCCATCTCACTAATATTTTGTGGGTGAAATTGTTGTGATTTTTACCATACTTCCACGGAAGCTTTCATAGAAACAAATATTTGAGCAAGCTGGTTACAGAGAAAAACCAGTCAGTCCAAGGAACACCACTAAAATCTAGAGTATTGAAGCCACTGAGCTAAAAATATCTGATTCCAAACTTTTCTCTGATGAAAGCCAATTTAGTTACGTGATTCATGACTGGCAAATCATTCCATTAGAAGTCTGATCAAGGAAACTTTTATTTATTAGACGGTGCAGAAGTAAGCCGATGCGGTTGTAATTCGTTTAGAGCAAAGAGCAGTGCAGAAATTCTTTATATAGAGATGCATGTCTTTCTACGCGTTTGTGTTCCCAAAAAGCGAGAAAATTTCGAAACAGGAAATATCGCGGTTAGAGAGGTGAAGAATGAAAATAGATTTCTATTTAGAGGTTAAATTGGCCATTGATTCTTCCATTAAATAATTTAAAAGAAGTGTTTAGTTCCGGATGACAAGAGAATATTGCTGTTCCATTTTTTTTACTACAGGAATTACTGGCATTTTTTTCCCTTAATTAACGTTTGCGTTGTTATGTATATTATTCAGACCGCAAAAGTTATAACATTCAAGTAGAAACATTTCTAAAAAAAGTAATATACAAGAGTGATCTGGTTAAGTGCCTCAAATACTCATTTGTGGTTATGAAAATGTCCTAGTCATGGTTTTATTTCGATTGATTGATTCGGGGTGAAATTTTCCCGCATGTCGAGAACTGAAGTATTGTAAGTTATTTGTGGATGAAGGGACAAGGTAAGGGCTTGGTTTCTTTACAGGGAGAAAAGCACCCTTGATTGTAAGAAAAATACAAATAACTCCGCGGCCTTTATGTAAAGCACGACTACCAAAGAGCGGTCACTCTTTCTCCGTGAAATACATAATTGAGTTCAATTGAAAGTGTTACGTGATGTCATTCATGGCAGTTTTGGAGGAAATTCAATTTAAAGCTCTTTTAGAGTATTTACAATATCTGACCAGACAGGTAAGAAAAAGCGTCCACCTTTAACTATGGGCGTGGTTCATTGTGTTTTCTGGAGTTTGTAAATACAATTAAATGAGGAGCATGTGAATATTATCAATATCAATGGAATTATTGTTTGTTTTTCCCTTTTGAATCGACGTTGATCATTTTGAAATTCTGTTTTGGCTTGCTCGACTCGTTTGTATCATTTGATTTGTTTATGGAAGTAAAATCAATGGTCGTGAAAAGAGCTCCCTCGTGGCGTCTTAAGTGTCATCAAATGAAGTAAACATATATTTAAACGTTCCCAAGCTGTAGACGAGATTGAACTGATTATCAGACAAGAAGGCACCCACGCAGTATTTTATGTGACTTTTGACCTGGTAAGCGCCGGACATTGGAGGCTTCTTCGTCAGTCAGGCAAAATCTCCCCTATCGAGGCTCCTTTAAGGCTGATTTACGCCCAAATTGGTCTACTGTAGAGCAGAATGACAAATTTCCCACCAGCATTAATTTCCCTCTCTAGTAGTATATATATTTTTCGGGATCATTGAACGTGGTGGCTCATTAGAAGCACAGGGGTGTAGCGAGGATTTTTGAAAGGGAGGCGGAGGGGGGTTGTCAAGGTAACGAATTTTCGCGCATCTTATATGACGCGGGTTATACCGCTTCTCTGTTTTGTATCAGCGTATACATCAAGCAAGAAGGACGTCTCGATTTAAAAAATGAAATTTCGTTTTTCTTCAATACCTTGATAAGTTGACCGTCTCCATTTCGCTGCTGATACTGCTACTACTACTACTTGTAATAATAGAATAGAATAGAATAGAATAATGATAAAAACAGACTGGAAAACCTGTTAATGAAAGGTATGATTAATTTCCCATGTTTATTTGGGTTTTGAACAGAACTCCAGTGCAAGTGAATTCGACAACGATCAGAAAAGTTTCATAATTGTAATAACTGATAATGTAATATGACAGCCACAATACAATTAGGAGACCGTACAGAGGCGTCAGTTACTTAAAATACTGATGAATTGGAAGAAACCTAGGAACATTGCTCGGGTTAGCAGAAAAAAAACGTTTGATGCTTTGTTCTACCTGAAGTAAAGCGAAAATCAAATCACTGTGCTACTTTCCAAAGATTCTATCGTGCCTCATTCAGAAGTCATCTAATTGTAATTACTGGCCATTGGGCAAGCCCACCTAACGCCTGAATTTAATCGCGCACAACGAGAAATTTACTTCTTTTGGCATTCAAATGGTAAGAAACCCGACATTGGAGGAAACGAAGCAGAAATGGTTAATAACTTAGCAAATATGGTATTTTCCTGGACATTTCATAAGGAAATTGAAAGTTTCTTAATGGGGTTCAGTCAAAATGGCAAATTTGAAGGGTGTTCTGATAATTTAACATGACAAAACAGAAATCGTGTCAGCCCTTAAAATCATCACTTATAATAATTAAAAAGCTTTCAACCCTCCCAGGAACTCTTTTCAAACTTTGGCTGCAAAATAACGGCAATTTTTTCCTTTCAACTTCTGAACCCCTTCGTCTCGCGATACATAACGATCCAACTAAAATCTAACAACTTCTTTCTTAAATTAAAATATAGAGGCGTGAGTAGAGGGCGGTTTTCAATGAGCGCTCGATGAAAATCAAGCGGCACAGCGACGAATACGAGTAACAGAGCTTACGTCACTACTTCAACTTCAAGCAGCTGCTACGCCGTACTCAGCATCAAAGCATGCGCAAAAATCACCACCCTTACAGGCTGAAAAATGTGTTCGTTTAAAGTAGAGCTTCTAGTCGCTACTTTGGTCATTGTAAATCTATATTCCCAGCTCAGTACCTTTTGGCACAATCCGTGGAGCAAAAGATCTGATTCTTTCTAGGATGGCGAAGGAACTGCTTTCCAATCAGCGATCTCTTGCACATGCCACACTTAAAGCACACATCTGTCGCGTGCCAAAACTCCCCCTCGTATTCGATCCTCTGTGCATCAGCGTTGATAATTTCCCGGCATTCAAAACACCTCCTCGCGTACAGTCGGTTGTAGCACTCCATGCAGTGTGGATGACCATCACGTGCCACATACAAGAGACCTCCCAGATCCCTGTCACACTCGTAACAACAAAAGTGCTTCCGGTGCCAATTGCGGTCCTCTGCTTGGGTGTACTCACGGCTAAATATCAACTGGAAAGAAAGAAATTCGGAAGAATTGAAATCCTAAGTTTGCAAAGTCGGATATTCGGAGTTCAATATTTTCTGAGTTCACGCTGCAAATTAGATCACACAAAAATGTGCTTTTCTTCGCAATTTAGGTCGAGCAAATATGCAACGAGTTTGCACCAAGGGTACTATTTGCCCTTGCATCAATCCTTTCTCCCTTCCCCGAACTCCACTGCACTATTGGAAATGATAAATCAGTACCACTGAAAACTACTGTTGATGTTAGCACCTCTTTACTAAAAAAACCCAGTGAACAGTGGAGGGCTTTATCTTTTTCATTACTGATTTGAATACTGTCACGAGGAGTATTCGTCAGAGAGTGCATAATCCCTTATTTTCAAAGTTTGTACTTTAGGCTCTCCTGGGATACTTTCTTGAAATATCATAACAATCGAGCCCAGGGGTGGATCTAGAGAATTTAGAAGGGAGTGGAGGGTGGTGCGCAAAAATGGGAGTGCGATGGTGACCACACTGGCACCAAACCAGTCGCATTAGATCATGTGACACAAAAAGAGACAGTTAAAGACTGCATGTGGCTACCGATATAACACAATTTTTTTTGCATTGAAAAGAGCAAGAGGTTGTATAATGACGCTAGAAGGTAGTGTTGCAGAGTATTTGTCTCATGCAAAACAAAAAACCTGCTGCATCCCACATATTTATGAGTACCCTGTTCCACAAGAGAAAGACGATTCAAGAATATAATGTCTAATTGACATTCAACCAATAATTAAATGGCAACAAATAATAATATTAACAATAATAATAATGATAACAGTAGTAATTTAAATATTAATTCAAAGGGGCTAGCTTCAAAGCCTCATTCTTCTACTATCCTCTGGACTCCACCAATGATTACCTATGCTTTGTGAAGAAACGGAACACGAATCTCAGAACTGAACCTTGCAAATCTTAAGAATTGAACCTTGCAAACTCTAAGAACTCAACAATGCGAACATTTATGTTATTTTTTAATTAGAACCGAGCATGAAACCGAATACTGTTTATCTTATCAAAGGGCGTTTATTGACACACGCATAGCTTTTATATACCAGAATTTAGTTTAAGCCTTCGAAAGGAGTTGTTGTCCACGAGTGCGGATAGCCCTTTTTAACGAGTTAGAACCTTGGAATCTTGTAAATCTAATTCTACGAGGATATAGCCAATAAAAACCTTAACATACTTCTTTTAATTTCGCCTGCTAGTTATAAATAATTTTCCTATTTCATAGCAATTCCATTTTTTGAGACTTCAGATTCATATTAAAAGGTATTCCGCGTTTTTGGATATTTTCGGACATTCCGTCCTTCCGCCATTCCGCCATTCCACTATTTCATTGTATAATCCGAGATAGACAATAAGCAGCACCGCGAAACATCGGGTCAAGATCAGGATTCTATTGTTACACTCATTCAGTTATAACGATGACATATGTGGCTTTGCCTTCTACAGTTGGCAGTAGTCACAAAAGTGAAATTAAATAACCAAGAAAAAAGAAAATTTAGAAAGGACAATGTGCCAGTTCAGGGGTAGCCGCCCTTGCAGTCCTCTGCCCCACACCAGTCCCCTGAAAAATCATTATTATAAGGCAGGAGCTACTTCAAGACTTACTTCATCACAGGCAGCACAGCGAGGCTTGTACAGCTCGGCATAGTGCCTTCCACAGTAGATGGCTCCTTCCTTGAAAAAATAAATCAAATCCACCAATAGATTGTTGCAGATTGCACACACAAAGCATCCTGGATGCCAACATTTGTTCTCTCCGGCACGTGATGCAAAGATAGCGATTTCCCCCAGATTGATATTGCCACCACATCTGTAACATGTCTGTAATAAATTTTTCAGTAGTTAGACTAGGAGTTTCACTTAAAAATGATAAATTTTTAAAAAAAAACAACTGAACAACTGGCTGGTTTCACTTGTAACTGTCTAAATGACCAACTGACTACATCTAACATCTGACTATCTGACTGACTGCCCGACTGATCAATGGAGTGACTTTTATCTGACCTCTTAGCAAACTGAGCAGCTGGCTGACCAACTCCCTGGCTGCCTGACTGACAGATGGAATGGCTGATTGCCTTGCTGGCTGGCTAACAGACTATCTAGCTGTGGGACTGGCTGATAGATTGTCTCACTTTCAAGCTAAGGAAATGAATGATATGGCAAATGAAAGATACTGACTCCTGGCTGGCTGACTGACTGTTGCACTTTCTGGTTTATGACCCAACTTCCAGACTTGCTTAAATGAAATCAGCTACTGAAACAGCCTGCACCTTTAAGTTAGGCTCTTTTTTCCTTATTTTTTTTTACTCACCCACTTGGAGACAGGGTTGGTTTTTTCACGCACATCACCAACCCCAAGAGCATTCTGGTTTCTATCCTCACAGAACTGCCTCATGCTGGCTTTCTCTGGTTCAGTTAGATTATCACAATATTCTGGATCATGGTCATGAATAGGAAGCTGGTACATCATCTGTTTGCGGCGATACTTGGCACCTTCACTACCAACTTTGGGCTTAACCTCTGGAGGTAGTGACTCCATGTACTTCATCAACTGGGAAGGAAATACATAATATTTCTTAGCTGTGCAGGAAAAAGAACTGCAAGATTGGTAGCCTGATTACTTAAAGCTCAAACTGAGGGGAAAAAAATGAACATTTGTAAAGGGGGATTTGACCCAGAAAGATGTCCAGCAAGTCGTCATACTGAATCATTTTAAACCTCATACATGACTATCCCTACATACACAAGAACCTTAACCCTTAACCTCCAGTGAATGACCAAGTAAGAATTTCTCCTTACAAAATCAATACAATGTCAAACAGACGAGTGGTGAGAATTAAAGAAAAATATAAATTAAAGATCACTAGTTGATCCAATACCAAATTCTCCAAACTGACATTATCAGAATTGTATGGCAGACAGTAAGGAGAAGTACTAATAAGATATTGGGGGTGAGAAAGCTAAAATGATATTTTGTCAAGGTGAGTAAAAACTGAATTATTATACCATTCACATGTTTGTGTAGCTGACATTCTAATTTCCTCTCATCACCTTTCATTTTGAAAATGTGCTTTATACTGATGTGATATAATGCAGAGATATCCTTCATATCACTCCTGAGAGCGACAGGTTCAAACAATTTTAAATAGCTCTGCTCCCTTTTGCAAATAAATTGTGGTGAACTGAGCTCTAATGTGACACTCACCACACCCTGCTGCAGACCCGGTGGAACCCATGCATACTGTTTAGCATACTCTGACTGCTGCCCCTTATTCTTGTTGGCTTCCTCCAGTTTACGGAAGTAGTCTCGGATGTGTCCCTGGGGGGAGTCTTTAGAAAATAAGCTGTGTACAACCAGTTTGTGTGCAGCCTCCTCCACAGTCTTGATATCATGTTCCTCGGGTTTACATTTGCACGTCTTGCAGATTTTTCTGTTGATTGACAAATAAAATTATAAAATAATTCAAATAGTACGAGTGCTCTGATTGGCCATAAAACCATTTTACATGAGCATATGTAAACACGGTTTTCGTTCCTCTTTCATTAGTTATTTTATAAAAGAAATGCAAAATGGTTTCCGTGTTTACATAGCCTGATGTAAACACGCGGGAGGTTGGGAGAACACTTGATAAGCTGGAAACCACTCCGCTTCATGTCGTGGTTTCCTACGCTTATCTCGTGTTCTCCCAACCTCCTGCGTGTTTACATCAGGCTATGTAAACACAGAAACCATTTTACATTTCTTCAGTAACAATTGGTGTCAGATAAATTATGCCAGCATAATTTTGGGAATAATGCTTTCATCAGAGCATCAAGCACAATGTTGGCATATTCATCAAACTTTAAAAAAAACCTCTATTTGTACTTTGCTATCCGTATTCAAGTTATGTAAAAGTGCACTTGAACCAAAGAGAAATGCAGTAGCTATGTGTACGAATCCACACTCATTACCAGGCCTTTTGCAAGGTATACTAGTCCCCTTACACCCAAACATCAGTATGCATACTCTCCATTCTGTTCTCCTAACATTTCCTGAGATGCTGACAAAGAGAAATTGTCTCACGATGAAGAGCATTTTTAATTGGTAATAACTAACCTCCAGAAATGCAGGTCCAATCCCCCTTCACATTTGACAGGGCCACACTGTAGGCAGGGGGCCCCTGCATTCATTTCATGACCTAAAGTAAACTACAAAAGAAGACAATGTATGTCAATGAGACTTTAAGAAACAGGTATTTGCCTTTTCAAAACAAACTTCTTCAGGGAAATAATTATCAACATATAATATTCTGCAATATCTACACAAAGTCATCAGATGGTTGAAACAATTTTCAAATTGCCATGATCCAACTCTATTGGATAAATTCCATATGCTTTCTATCAAAAATTAAAAATAACTCTTATAAGTTATGAAAATTAGGATTTGAATCATCATCCTCTTTTATTGAGCTGACTCAAGAAGGCTTCCTCATTGATTTTCAAGTACCATGCCCTGTTACCAACAATAGTTGGTGACATCTTCATTCTCAAGATCAGATTACTTGATCAAACTGTTTAACTGTTTGGTTGCTTCAAATCCTTTAAATGTACAATCAATATTAGAAGTTCTAGACTTGAAATTTGATACCCAAAGTCTCTTGTCTATTCTCAAAGCTTATCAGACTCAAGGTTCCAGTTTCAAGTAGCAATTGTTTAATTACAATAAGGAAGTACTATCAAAACGCATGATCTAATTTTATTGATGCAAATCAGATTTGAATGTCATTATCATAACAGTCTAAAAGTCATACTATTTTATGAGAATTCAAGCACAGGAAACAAAGTATTTCTATTACCACCAGAAATTATTAATGTAAGGTTTTTTTGGGAAGAAACTTACAATCAAAACATGAACAAAAAATTGTTTTGAATGACATTTTGACTGGTCTTTCTCATTAACTTTGTTGTTCAGCACTGATTACCTTGGATAGCTACAGCATCATATGGTATGAAACGATGTTGTGAGGATCGTGTTTTTAAAATGAGAAAAATATTTCTTCCTTGTTGATTGTTCATTTGTTCTTGAAAGAAAATATTTCATACAAAAGAAGCAAATTTTTTTTTAACATTTCTCCAATGGTGATAAATTTGATTTTGGTGATAAGATTTTCAGTTTTAATTTAATCTTATGAAATTTTGAAAATATAATAATAATGTTAGAAATGAGGCCCACCCAAACAATTATTAAGATCATATTGTCTGTTCAAGTGTCTTATATTGATTCAGTTTAGTCAAACCAATATTTTCATCGTTAACTCACATACACAGTTCTGATGTGATAAAAAGGCTGTAAGCAGCAAAATGAAATAAAATGTAAAGATATGAAAATGCCCAGAATAATCAAAACAACTCGCAATGTCTCATTAAATTGGTCACGTTATTATGAGCATTTTGTGGACCTTACCTCAGTTAATCACATGATGAACATACCCCTTGCAAAAATTAACTGAAAGAATCATGAGGCAGTTTCTTTCCTCTAATTTGAACATCTTCTTATAGCATATAACCTGGGATCAACTTTTTTCAATCAACTCATCATGTACTGATGTGGATCTCAGAAGTTTCGATTAAGGAAATTTACACAGCTGTGCTGTTTACAGTTTTACATAGCATCTAAGTCTATTTAAACCTCTCCCGTGTGGTCTGGTGCACTAGATTTCTTTTCAATCAACATGAAACCATAACACAACTTAAACTAAATATTCTTGTATAAAACCTCCCAATCTACCGTTACAATATGCGGCAATTATTGCCTTGACTCAAGGGGAGATATCTGTTTGAACGAGAATGTTTGTAAGCCCAAAAAGGAACGCAAAACATAACCCCCTTTGGAGTTATATAACTTATCAGAAGAGAAATAAAGGAAAAACAATCTAATTAACGTTCTAGTAACCAAAGAGATCGTTTGGAAAGATAAATATTTAGTGTCAAAGGGGAGATAGCACAATCTACCCAATTTGAAATAAAATTTAAACAGTAAATAAACGAAGCTTGGAACCATAACAAACTACCTCGAGCTGCAGGAAACAGTATCCTAAAAGCATCAATTAAAAGGCCAAAAAATAGACAAACTTTTAGTTAAGTTTATCAAAAGCAGAGAGCTGAAATCTGGTGAACTGTCAATCCGCAAAAATTATTCAAAAACGAATGAGTTGGTTGTAGAATGAATACAATCAACATAAATGGCTCCTATCGAGTCCAACGAACTACATCGACAGCGGAACACTCTGTTTTCTGCAGCCGTGATTGCTGAGTAGGATCAGTTGTATAAACTGCCATGTCCTTTGACTTGACCAATAATTCCCATCATTTCCAAGAAAACTTGGCGATAACAGAGTCGAAGTATCGCATGACACATATCGACGTGAAACTTGTATCATCGGCGCCACTAACCTTTTTCGGCATGTGTAAGTTGAGTCCGTCCTGCGACCCTTCCGCCATGTCTTCACCGGATCGCAAATTTCAACACTACGGGTAGTATTCTGAATGTTTTCTCGAGGTCAAAAGTTCGATAATAAAGCGGCCAACAGCCGAATTACGATTCCCGTTAATCTCTCTACAAACTCTTAATATTTTCCTTCTCTCCCAAAACACTAACGGACGTGACATCAACGCCGAAGCTCGTACGGAATGATGGGTCACTCGACAAACTAGGGAGGGGAGGGTGAAATAGAAAAATCTGGTAATTACGAAATTAGTTCTTGTCGAATTAGGGTATTTTCCATGGCCACTTCGCCCTCTCCATACAAGTGTGTTATCGATTGGTGCTGAATATCTATCTTCACTTTTTTGTATGGATTCGTGTAAATAAGAAAAGGAAACTCGGCTTTAATTTTACAAAAGCAAGCGGGCTAAGCTCTAAGCTTTTGAGCCTCAAACTGTTCCTTTGTTGGATTTCCGGCCGTATTAATCTTAATTGATAAGACATTAAAAATATCCATCTATTCAGAAAACTATGAACATTATTTTTTCTTTTATAATAAATATTCAGTTTCAAATAAATAACAAGTAGCGGTCCATGCATCTCACAAATTTTAGTCTTTTTTCATCCCATTTAAAAGTTGAGTATTTTGTAAACTTTATGCGATACGAACAAAGCCGTTTATAAACAAGTCATTCACTGAAACCCGAGCGGATAAGTGCTAGTCACTCCAAGACTTCGATTGTGCAGAGGAAAAACACGATTACTAAACTTCTTTCGTAGCCTAAAAGCGCCGAATATTGACGTAAAGTACGAGGAAGCAGTGGTGTGTAGGCTATATGTAAATTAGGTGGCTTTTAACGTCATAAAATAAAAGCGATATTCACTCGAAATTTCCGAATAAGCACCGTAAATTACGGTAACCTTGTGTAAGTGTAAACTGTCTCTTTTGACAGAACAGGAGGTCTTAGAAAAAGAGAACTGAAAACTCACGTACGTACCTTCTCGCGAGGCATACCTTGTCTGCATATATCCTAACGTCATCCACTAAACCAGAAATAAGGCAAAACACATTTGGAAGCCTCCGTTCTAATCTTTGAAAGTGCGTGCCACCGCTCTGACCCTAATCCACATACCGGAAAAATCTAGTCACTGTCTAGTCATTATTGTCTGACGTAGCAAGGCGTGTGCTGGAATGATGACAACTTGTCGTCACCAGGCCTGTGGCTCAAAGTGGCGGGAGTAAGATAAGGAGGAGTTGGGGACAAGGCTGGAAACCCAATCCAAAACACTGGACACTTCTTGTTTCTGTGCTTTAATCTACAGGAACGAAAACTTGTAACTATGATGAATATCAAGACTGAAATATATGCTAGTATTTATCAAATGATGCTACATTTTCACCGCTATTCTTCTAAGCAAATGCAGCTGTCGACAATCCGAATTCTCGACTATGGAGTCTTAAACCCAGTAAAAGACTTGTTAAATTATCTGATAATCTATGCTTTGTTAAGAGCAGTTTTTGAACCGTATCTTAATTCCTTTAGATTTTATTTTCAGTTGAAGAAGAAAAAAATTTTTACACTTTTACCAAATTAATTACCTTTAACAGGAGCCCATAGAAATGGGCCCCTGCCTTTAAGGAAAACCAAATTTTTAAACATTATTTCATATGTATGAAAAAAATAACTACACACGCAGAGTCAACGTAGTCTACTTACTATGCTATGATAAAACATAAAAGTAAATTTTTACTAAAATAAATTGTTTACAAAGTCTTAAAGGAAGTGGTATTAAACATCCTTCAAATTAACATTAACCTTTATCCCTCTGTACTTCACTTGAAAAACAACTGGAATTACTTTAGAGAGCTTTTGATGTGTTTCTAGAACATATCAACTCAACTATTGTTTTAGATCACTGTCGTGAATCGTCATCCGTTAATTACATTTAGTTCTTAATGCGAGACATAGTACGTTTCCAATACAAACTGTGTGTAAATTACCTAATCTATCCTTGAACTACAGTTGTATATCAGATAAATACGGTCTCAGACTGTCTAGGAGATTTTAGTTTTACAGAACAACAAGAGTAACGCAAGAGCACGTCGAAGTTGTGGTCTAAATCCGCTGAATTGGATATTGCGTTACCAAAATGAAACTTATATATGAGTAACATAATACGTCATATCTGTATCTCACAAAAAGCCAAGTTTGTCACACCTTCACTGGTCAGCTAAATTTTAAGGTCAATTAATACTTGGTTATCATACTGTCCCCTGCGGTTAAACTTACCTGTCCCCTATGTTGATCTGCTCGCTTTCAACAAATAGCGCGGTAAATAGCATCGAAGCTGTAATCCTATTAAAGCAGTTTTCAAGACTTTTTCTGACGTGGTTTTCATTAAAGTAAGGTGAAACGGCCAACAGAACAGCTCAGTGTCCTGTATGACTTCTGCTTGCATTTAAAACTCATTTTAAGCGTCAAATTATCGATACAGAATGCTGCTTCGTGCTAAAAATGTTCATATAAAAAGCTTAGGAACAAACTGTTTCACTGCTCAGTGGTTAAGAATTTTATAAAGTTCAGTTCACCCTGACTTTCCACTCCTCTTGCCAATACATCCTCCATTTCGGTCAAATACGTTGAGGTCAGGATAATTTCACTATTGATGTTGATCCAGACATTCCTCTACATGAAGTTCCAGGGTTTCTATATCAGGAAATAACTCCATGCAGCTTGGACACTGATTTTGCTGAAGATCGCCTACGGAAGGTGGTCGCTGGAATCCTTGGCATGCCACAGCATGAATCTGAAGTGCATCAAAATTAGGGAACACCCCGCGACAGTTTGGACATTGCCAATCATTTTCATCCACCGGTGGAGCAGGGACTTGTTGTTCCCTTCCAGGACTCCGCATGTCCCCCTCTCTCCCGGTTTCTGCAGGTTGTTCGGATCCACGGGTGAAAAAAGGCATTCCAGGAAATCCAGCGCACCATTCTCCGGGAGATCCTTGTTGATGGGGTGGGTAGTCTGTGGTATGATAAGGAACACTGGCATGGCGGCGTTGCATTTCCTCGAATCCTCTGTTGCTTAACTGATAGATCTCATCCTGATATCGCTGGTTTTCCTG